GAAGAAACTCTTGTTTTTCCTTGATTCAGTGACTACTAAATCATTTCCTTCCATTCAGTAAAATTGCCCCTTCAGACACTGGTGGTAAAGCAGTGGGGAGTTTCCCATACTACATGACAGAGTTTAGGTAGAAAAATTTTATATTGATAAGACCAATATGCTGATAACTTCTACTTAATGACTTCTGATTGCTGATCAAAATCTTTCCAAAAGGCCCAAATACCATACATGAGTAGCACTGAAAATCCAAATTACATTCCTTAGCCATAGAGAATTCACCCTTCAAATATAAAGGATTTGTTTTGGGAGAGATAATATTTAGCGTTTGTTGATTTAGAAACTTATTCATTTATTCATTTGTTCTTTATGAGAATCATTGACTCTACTCGGTTCAAGTCACTTGTCTGAATTTCACTAACCAGCAGGCAAATACTATAATGGAGTACTATAAATGTCAAGAATTATTTTAGAAATCCATTTATCCCTTGTGCCTCTATATTTTGTAGAGTTATACTACACATCAGTCAGCTTTCCTGTAACTGGGACAAAACACCGGACACTCACAAGTTAAAAGAGAAGAGGTTTATTTTGGCTTGTGGTTTCAGTCCGTGGTGAGCTGGCTCTAACACAGAAGCCACATGTGACAGAGGAGCATGGTGGAGGAAATCTGCTCATATCATGATAGCCAGGAAGCAGAGAGAGAAGAGAGGACCTGGGACAAGAATACACCTCTCTAGATCACAGCCTTACCACCAACCAGGTCCCACTTCCTAACAGCACATTCAGCTAATGAGCAAATCCACTGATGAGATAGCACCCCATGACTTAGTCACCTTCCAAATACATGTGAAACTTAAGCCATTACACACACATATATACACACATACACACACATGGATACAAGGGGTGAAATCCTTTTAAATTTTCAAAAGACTGAGAAGGAATCCACTTTTAACATGCTTTAAAATATAGCAAAGTAGAAAAAGTCCAGGAGCAGGATTAGCAAAACTAGCTTTGGTCTCAATATAGTTGGCAACTAGTAGGACAACCTGAAGAAGACACCGGGCCTCCGGATCTTTGGTAGGGCATCCTACCTTCCCTTTCCAATTGCCTATGACTCTAGCAAAAGTAATATGATAAGATGTTTGGGAACACAGATGTAAGTTCCTCACACAGATGTAAGTTCCTAGCACGAGAGTTCACTGAATTGCTGAAATGCTTCTTCCTGAAATCAACAACTTCCTAATTTTCACATCTAATGTATGATTTTCAGTTCTTAAATTACTTGAACTTTCTGTGACAAATGACACTGTAGACTACTCACTCTTTTTGGAATTTTTTTACCTTGTATTTCTTCCTTTCCTGGGTTATTTATTTCCTACTGCTCTGATTTCTTCTTTTCAGGACTTTTTCCTCTGTCTAATGTTTAAGCACAAATAATCCATAATATTCCATACTTAGAGTGAACTCATCTCTTCCCATACCTCAATCAATCTTGAACTCTAGCTCACATTTTCAAGTACCAGAAGTATACTGATGGTTAAAATATAGACATTTAATACTCCCCAGCATCTCAAAAACAACACGTTCAATGCTAAATTTATCATCATTTTGGTCCCTCACTTTACCACATTTATTCTCAAACTGCAAGAGATTTATTAGCAGTCTGGGACCTCAGAGGCCCCCATCATGTTCAGTCCACTGTCATAAGTTGCACCGTTAGGGGTCACCTCTTTGATTCTCCATATCCAATTGCTTTGCCTCATCTTCTCCATTGCCTTTACCCTAGTGCAGTCCTTCAAAATCTCTGATACTGGGAGACTCTTTATTGAGGAACACTATTATCCCAATCACCTCCTGAGTGGTCTTTCTGCCTTTATTCTCAGTGTTATTTCCCTTTCATTTCCTCCAATTTCCCAGTGGTTTTTTTATTTTTTT